ATTAAAAGACGACACTAAAACTTTGAACTAAGTATTTTAATTTCATATGAACTTTTCTCAACATTTTAACGTCCCCCCTGTCCACTTCCGAAGTGTATGATACACCCTGTATGTGAAACGTGATAAAGCGTTGATTAGAAAAGTTATTCATTATTTCGGAACTTTTTATGTGGCAATGTACGCTTAGCGGAGTTTCAAGGCAGTTACCATGTCCCAATAGAGCGAAGTACGCGTACACCATCATCATATCCCAAACCATCGTCAGGTAAAGTAAAAGTTGGATTAGGCGTTTGAGGTGTCGCAGGTGGACCAGGACCAGCCAGCCTCGCTTGTGCAGCTTGTTGTGCCATGTGTTGCTGAACTGCAGCATGAGCCACTGCATGCGCCTCTACGTATGCCGATCGCTGTTGCTGTTGCTGACTACCATTAGACATCTTGTCCTTGTCAGTTGCCTATTAATTATTGCAATTATACACTTTATTATATATATATATATATGTATATTTATAATATATATATTTCTTTTTTCATTACACAGTGACAATTTGCAGAATAATCACTCTTGGTGAAAAGGATCAGTCGCGAGTTAAGATACGGGAAAGTTCTTGTTCAAAGAACAAAGCAGAAGATTCGTTAGAAATTTTGAACTTGAACCTCTCGGGAATTCGAGGTCATTATCACGATTTATCAATGTAGTTGGGCATAAAAATGCCAGACTAACAATCATAAAACGTATTATCTGAAATCATTAGAAAAAAAAAAAAAAAAAAAAAAAAAAAAAAAAACGGGATACTAGTTAAATTCATTTCGTCAAAAGAAGAATGAAAAGTCTGCAAGAGCTAAAAGTGAAATACTCGACTTTCAACAAATGTTACCTCGCAAGATACAATTATCGACAGAATAAACGACGAGTGTAAAATCTGTAGGAACAAACAGCATTTCGCGACATTTCTATCAATTTCGGGGACAAAAGCGTAGCAGCCACGGAACCGATATGGGAAAACGATTAATCATGGGAACAGAGCTGAGCTCGCACCAAGGCGCACTCGGTGCCAAATATCTATTAACGATAATCGATATTTACCAGAAAATTCTTCGGGCTAAATGGAAATTATTCGATTTCTGGTGATCTGACGTGAAGCTTAATTACCCATTCGAGCAAGTAATCTCCAAAGAAAAAAAAAAATCAAATTTCACAGAAAGATTTTGTACTCCGAAACATTCTCATCGCGGCTGATACGAGAATTCAACTCGGGTAATTTGTTTCGAAAATTGTTCGAGCTAACACCGACATTTTTCATTTGACAAAAATTGGGATAATCACCCAGATTATTCGAAATCGTTCGGACCTGGCAACGTCTAACAGAAACTCGTGCATTGAAACGGAATAGTTTTGAATATCGGTAGCATAAAATAAACCGGTAACCGAGGAAATGAACGGGGCGTTTAAAAAAAAAAAAAAAAAAAAAAAA